GGCATTGTGTGTATTAATGCTTTATTTTTTTAAAGTGTCTATCTATGCTTTGTTGACCATAGGAAGGCATTTGACTGTGAGATTATAACAAATTATAGCTAACATTGAGAAAAATGGGAATCCCAGAACACTTAATTGTGCTCACACGAAACCTATATCTAGACAAGGAAGCTGTTGTGCAAACAGAGCAAGGGAGCACTGTTGTTGTTGTTATTGTTGTTGTTACGTGCTGTCCAGTCCCCTGTGACTCATAGCAAACCTATGTACAACAGCTCTGAATCCTACTCTATCCTGAGCCAACCTGTCTCTGACACACTTACCCCCATCACCCCAGTCACTGAGCCAATCCATTTCATCAAGGATATTCCTCTCTTGCGCTGCCCCCTCCAAAGCTTCATGTCCCCCTCCAAGAACGGGTCCCTCCTTGCCAGATGCCCAAAGTATGTCAGACAGTGCTTCAGAATCCTTATCTGCAAGGAACAGCCTGGTTTCACCCTCTCTAGAACGAACTTGTTTGTTCTCTTAGCAGTCCATGATATACTCTTCTCCAGCACCACAGTCCAAAGGCATCGATTCTCCTTCTATCATCCCTTGTCCAACTTTCTGACACATAGCACATAACTGTGAAAACAATGGACGGGATCAGATGCATCTTAGTCTCTAGATGACATCATTGTTCTTCAGCACTCTGGAGAAGTCCCTGACAGCAGACTTTCCCAATGCAATTCGTCTTTTGATATCCTGGCTGCTGGTACCAAAGTGTTGATTACAAAGCCAAGCAAACTAAAGCTGTTAATAATCTCAATCTCTTCACTGTCTATCATGATGCTGCCAATCGACCCAGTGGTAAGAATCTTTGTTTTCTTGATGTTGAGCTTCATCCATATCGAAGGTTCCAGTCCTTGACTTTCTACAGCAAGTGCTTCGGGTCCTCCTCAGTCTCAGCAAGCAAGATTGTATCAACTGCATAAAGCAGGTTGTTGATGAGTCTTCCCCCAATCCTGATACAACACTCCTCGCTGAGCCCAGCCTCCTGGATGATCAGTTGTGAATACAGATGGAAAAGGCATGAAGATAGGATGCATCCCTGTTGTCCACCCTTCTTTATTTTAAACCATGCAGTGTTTCCTTGCTCTGTTCTGATGACTGCCTCCTGGTCCAAGTATAGGTTTGGCACAAGCACAGTCAAGTGTTCTGGGATTCACATTCTTCTCAGAATAAGCCATAGTTTGTTGTGATCCACACAGTCAAATGTCTTCACATAGTCAATGAAAAACAGACATTTCTCTGACAGACAAGAACCATCTAACATCAGCTATAATATCCCTAGTGCCACGACCTCTTCTAAACCCATCCTGCACATCTGGAAGTTCTCTGTTGATGTGCTGTTCCAGTCACACGGTTTAACATTAAATAGGGAGTGTGTCAGAGTTGTATTCTCTCTCCATACCTATTCAATCTGTATACTGAGCAAATTATTTGAGAAGCTTGACTCCAGGAAAAAGAATGTGGCATCAAGATCAGAGGATGATTTATCAATAACCACTGAACCAATAGGCAACATCATGACAGATGGATAAAAGAATGAAACCTTCAACAATTTCATTTTCCTTGGATCCACAATCAACTCCCTTGGAACCAGCAGTCAAAAAATCAGGAGACGTACTGCACTGTGAAAATCTGAAGTCAGGGACCTCTCCAAATTATAGAGGAGCAATGATGTCAGTCTAGGAACTAAGATGTGTCTGATTCAGGCCACGGTCTATCTGATCACTTACTATGCATATGAGAGCTGGACTACATATAAGGATGACAGAAGAAGAATTGATGCCTTTGAGTTTGGGGAAAGAGCACTGAATATCCCATGGACTGCCAAAAAAACAAACAAGTATGGCTTGGACACAGTGTAGTCAGAACACTCCTTGGAGGCAAAGATGACAAAGCTTTGTCTCACATACTTGGAGCATGTCACTGTTGTTGTTATGTGCCGTCGAGTCGCTTGCGACTCATAGTGACTCTATGTACAACAGCCCTAAACTCTGCTCTGTCCTGTGCCAATCGCACTGTCTCTGACACTCTCATCCCGATTATCCCAGTCACTGAATCAATCCACCTCATAGAGGGCCTTCCCCTCCTGCGCTGTCCCTCCACCCTCCCAAGCATGATGT